TTCTATATAAGCACAAAACACACATAAGTTATCCCCTGAGGAGTTGACATTTGAAATTTCTAGTAAGGTTATATGTTTAGAATTTTCCATCATAATACCATGTATCTTTCCAAAATCCTGGTTTTTTATAAAAATCCCTACAAAGTAGTATAATCCCACAAATTGAGGTTGGACCACTTAAAGTTTTATATCTTAATTTAATAGTATAGCTTCCACTCTTTACAAGGGTCCATATCCATTTATCATCTACTTCATTATCAGGCAATATACATGATTTCTTGAATTGTTTCTTGGTTGAAGAGCAACGTTAATTTGTCAAGGTTCCACTTTACAGTCGTATGTTCAATTAATTGTCTATCAAGTAAACAATTAGGATTTTCCAGTATATATAGGGAATGAAGCTATTGAGAGCATGGATCTTCCCATACCGTAGTAGAAGAGTCGTCCTTATTAATTTACATGCAGTTTTTTTAATGAGACCCTTGGTTTTTATTAGTCTTTTCAAGAAGGAAGACCTTTTATCTTTAACTTGCACTTTAAGAAACTTTGAAATGCCTAAGTATTTAGGTTCCACTAGTTTCGCCCATAGCTTAGGCTCTTCTTTCACCATTTTTCAAACTAGCCCATAACTTAGGCTCTTCTTTCACCATTTTTCAAACTAGTTTTGCTATTATAACAACATTAAAATTACAAAGATTCCATAATGAAAGACCTTCATTCCCTTTAGGTTTACAAAGTTTATTTCAACTAACTGGCATACAAAGTTTATGTCAACTAATTGGCATAAACCCTCTATTTTGCCCTTCTTTAATACTCCACTAAAAATATATAGTTGGTTTATTCATTTCTTCATATGTTTTCTCTGGAATAATGAAGATAGACTTATTATATGAGGGAAGAGTTAAGTATTGAGTTGATCAAGGTGGCCTTTCTCGTATACTATAGTAACTTATTTTTCCATTCAGATAGCTTAACTTCGAGCTTCTCGACTAGACCTTAAAAATCTGAGTTAGTAAGTCTCTCTATATTTAAAGATAAACCAAGACAACTATCATTCTTGAAACCAAGATAATTATTAAATTTTTGCTAAACAACATTGAGGATTTATCCTTCTTTAGCTTTTACCGAAACCAGTTGTAGTATGTCTCTAATACATTTCATAATAGCTTTAATCTCTTTCTTTTTAGCTTGACAAAATATAAACAAGTTATCTACAAAAAATAGGTGATTAATTGAAGGTAAAGTTCTAACAATTTTGATACCATGGATAACCTATTCACTTTCTAATATGTTAAAAATTATAGATTTACTTCAATGCATATAATAGAAAAATGTGTTGAGTTTTTTAATCGATCATGTGGACTTAATGTGGGTCTTATTGTGCATAAAATACTATCAATTTTATTGGACCTGTTTGAAAGTAATCGATCACGGATATTGGGTCTTAATACATTTGGAAAGTATGAGCCTCTTTTATGTGCAAAGACAAAAAATATTATTTCTGATTTTATGATTAGATAAATAAAAAATAACGAAACTTGACGATATAAAAAAACGATTATAGTTTTCAAATCACACGTAGGGTTTATTTTTCTAGTTATCCCATCAGTAGAAAAAAAAAAGTTTGAAAGACCACATGCCGATTTTGAAGATCTACAGTACTACGTGCAAATTTCTTTAACTACTAATTCATGTACGTTTTTTATTACAAATCTAATCCTTTTGATTCAATATGAGCATGGGTATTTGATTTTAAATCTAGATTGTTTTAAAATTCTACAAAATGGGATATTTAATCCCCGTGCCTTGACCCCCTTTTAAGTTTATCTTTTTTGAGTAAAACTCTATTAATTAGGAATTGAAAACATAACGTGGATAAACAATTTGTAATTAAATTGATAATCTCATATAAAAACCCCAAATTTCTTGTAATTTGTGCTAAGGTCCACTCAATTGTGTTGAAAACTTTCTTTATATCATATTTGATGGTTGCTTGACCTCTTTTATCTTTCTTTTTCATTATAGAGTGAATTAGCTAATGTGCAATTATAATATTTTTTTGAATACTCATCTATTTAACAAAATGTTTTAAATAGAATCTATAATCTTTTAATATAAGTGATCTTAGTCTGAGAGTCAAAATTTTATAAACTAATTTATATATCATATTATATAAAGATATGGGACGAAAGTGGCCAACTCTATTTGCTCATTTACATTTACAAATTAAAACTATAATAATTTAGTTTCGTTTTTTAAGTAGATAACCAAACCCTAAAGAAATTTTATTTTATTTATTGCATCCCTAAAAGTCTAATTAAACAACCTTGACTTTTTAATATAAAAAAATTTATAAAATTTTTTGTATAATCTATGTAGTGATTGATGTAGATGAAATAAATTAAATAATTTTTTATTGCCTTATATTATTATAGCAATTTGTTTGTAATTTTTTACAGGTATATATATATATATATATATTAATTATCATAGCAGTTTGTTTACAATATATATTATAAACTATATTTTTAAGATAACAAAATTAGTTTAGACTAATGTTAGTTTGTTAATGAGTAGACATCTATGCTTATTCTGCAATTTAATTATTTAAAAATAAAAATATTTTTTTTGATTTTTTTTAATTTTAATGTGGAGAACTCGATTAGGTCTGAGAGCAGTAAAGCATAAATTACTGTAATAATTTTATAATTGCAGTAAAAAAAACTGAAATAGCAAGATTTAAAGGAGTTAATGGCGTTGATGGCATGTCACCTAGATAATATTATTAATGCAACATTTAATGGTTCCTAACAAATAAGATGTTATTAAATTTTTTGGTCATATTTTAATTTTTTTAATATGAATTCTATACATTAAGTCAAACTTCATCAAATTATATATAATTATTTTTTAATATTTAATGGTAATGTAGCGTATCATGTTAACTCATAGAAGATGAATTTGATGACTTATTATGGGACCATATTAATTGCTACATAGAAAATTCTCTCAATGTTAAACTTTTGAACATTTTAAGAGAAATTGCATTTAATCTCTATTAATAGTCAATATAAGATGTTTATTGAGTTAAATACCCTAAATATGATCAACCTCATCAATACTGTTTTTCAACTACGAACTACACAAGACATATAGAGTTTGAGGATTAACTGAAATACAGTATGCTTGTCCTCATTTTTCTTCTTTCGACTTCGAAATTACCTCCTCCACAATTCAAAGTTTCAAAGAAGCACCGTTCTATATAATTTTGGAAGTATATAATAAAAAAATGATTAATTCCCATCCCACAACGAATTAAGAATAAATAAATGGCATTTGAAATGTTAAGTTTTATTCACAATTCAATATAGAGTTGAGAATCTTTTAGAAATATAAAATAACCAATCACTATCGAACAAAGACTTCAAAACTTCCCAACAAAAACAAAAAGAATAATTTTAAATGTTAATTGACCCAAAAGAGGCAAACAAGAAATAAGCTTTTATATAGTGGGGGTAGTTTAAGCTATGTTTGGAGAGTACATTAAATGCTAAAATGGCATGGAATATGATAAGGACAGATTAAAGCCTACTATTTTATAAATTGGCTTTTTTTACATTCAATTCTAGTTACACACAATCAAGGAATATATGATGCAAGGTTGTCTATGATGCTTCTGCCTTTAAGTTTTGATAGCAAAACCACTTTTTGTATAAAAATAAATGGTATATTGAGGATGACTAATATTAAAATATCAAGTCAATAAAATGTTAAGCAAAGGAGTTGGCAAAATTTGAATTTTAAATAGTCAAAAATTAAGAGTTAAATAAAACTTGGATATACCCCAAAAAAAAAAAAAAAATAGAGATGAAACATTAACATTGTCATTTAAAAATAGAGATGAAAATATTAAGATTATCATTCTGTTTGATACAGAAGAATATTTTTTTAATTTTGTTTTCCAATTTATATGTATTTAGTTATACATTAAAGCATGTAAGATATTTATGAATAAAAATGATGTAATAGAAAATAGCAGTGGAAATTGGGCTTGTTGGCTTCCATACTTAGTGACTAACTATCCTATCTGATGGGAAGAAAACTATGAATTTGGTGGGCCCCAAAAATGACATGGCAAGTTATGAGAGGTCCTGAAACTAAAAGGAAGAATCTTGTGTAGCCAACCCCATTCCAAATATTATCCTATCCATAAGCTGCTCGTCCCCATCCCTCCATAATTTGGCATACTTTTTCTGGCTAGAAATTTTCTTTTAGATCTCATGGATGGGAATTGTCTATCGCTCACGATTCCCATCTTGGCTTCTATACTTCCTTTGTCCATTCTAAGTAGTACCCACATCAATTTTCCCTGTCAACAATCACAAAAATTTTCCTTCTCAGTTCCTTTCTGCAAACTTTACTCCCAGGAGTTTGGTTTTCTTATGCCCATTCCAGTAATACCAACAATCAGAAATTTTTCCTTCTTGGTTCCTTTCTGCAAATTTTTATCCCAAGTGTGTGGCTTTATTGTTAAAGAACGTGATGATTCTCTTGCTATCTTACGTTTAGGACACTAGTACTAGATAAGAGTCAAGTAAGTAATGGTGGCAATTACCAGAGGATGATTAGGACACCAGTCCTCCACCAAACCCACCTATTCTCACAACCAGAGACCTCAACATTACATAGCTCTGAATTGAGTTCCAGGTTGAAGGAGCAAGAATGCATCTCTCTCATACGCAGGTGCAACAACATTGAACAATTCAAGCAAGCTCATGCTCAAGCTATCAAATATGGCTTCTTTTGGAACTCTGCCCGTACAAGCAGTCTTGTGGCTGCTTGTGCTCTCTCAGGCTGGGAGAGCATGGAGTATGTCTGCTCAATTTTCCAACAAATGGATGAACCAGGAACCTTTGAATTCAACACTATGATCAGAGGATATGTTAATGAAATGAGCTTTGAAGAAGCTTTACTAATCTACTATGAGATGCTTGAGATGGGGGCTGAACCTGACAGGTTCACCTATCCACCCCTGCTAAAGGCATGTGCCTGGTTACAGGGACTGGAGGAAGGGCAGCAAATTCATGGACATGTGCTTAAGCTGGGATTAGAACAGGATATGTTTGTACAAAACAGCTTGATCAATTTGTATGGAAAATGTGGTGAGACACAACTTTCTTGTGCGGTTTTTGAGCAAATGGATGCAAAGAGTGTTGCTTCTTGGAGTGCTGTTATTGCTGCCCTAGCTAGATTGGGAATGTGGAGGCAGTGTTTGGTGTTTTTTGGAGATATGATAAGAGAAGGATGTTGGAAGCCTGAAGAAAGCACATTAGTTAGTGTGCTCTCTGCTTGTGCACATTTTGGTGATCTTGATCTGGGTAGGTGCATACATGGTTACCTACTCAGAAACATAAGTGACCTTAATGTCATAGTGCAAACTTCTCTACTAGATATGTACCTCAAAGGAGGGCATCTACAGAAAGGATTGCATACCTTCAAGAAGATGGTGAAGAAGAATAGGTTGTCATATAGCGTGATGATCTCAGGACTTGCGATGCATGGATTGGGGGAGAAAGCTCTTATGATTTTCTCGGAAATGCTAGAAGAAGGGCTGACCCCAGATGCTGTAGTGTATGTCAGTGTGCTTACTGCTTGCAGTCATGCTGGGCTTATCAATGAGGCTCTGCAATGCTTTGATAGGATGAAATATGAGCATGGAATAGAACCAACAGTTCAACACTACGGCTGCTTGGTAGACCTTTTGGGAAGAACTGGAAGGCTCCAGGAAGCCTTTGAGCTTATCAGTAGCATGCCCATGAAGCCGAATGATGTTGTCTGGAGAAGCTTTCTCAATGCCTGTAAAATTCATGACAATGCAAAACTCGGGAAGATTGCAGCAAAGAAGCTCCTCCAGCTAAACTCAAAGAACCCCGGTGATTATTTGCTTCTGTCAAATGTGTATGCTCAAGCTCAGAGGTGGAGAGATGTGAGCTTGATTCGAACAGAATTGATCTGTAGTGGCCTTAAACAAACACCAGGATTCAGTTTGGTTAAGGTGCAGAGAAAAGTGTACAAGTTTGTTTCACAAGACAAGTCTCACCCTCAATGCAAAGGAGTTTATGAGATGATCCACCAGATGGAGTGGCAACTAAGATTTGAAGGCTATTTGCCAGAAACATCACAGGTCCTTCTTGACGTGGATGAAGAAGAGAAGAAACAGAGATTGAGAGGTCATTCTCAAAAGTTAGCAATCGCTTTTGCCCTGATACATACATCTCAGGGTTCTCCCATAAGAATAGCAAGAAACGTCAGGATGTGTAGTGATTGCCACACCTATGGTAAACTAATTTCAATGATTTATGGAAGACAAATTATTGTTCGAGATCGTAATCGGTTCCACCATTTTACAGATGGAACTTGTTCTTGTAGGGATTACTGGTAAATTGCAATTTCTCCATCCCAATTTTCTTTCCACAGTTTTTAGAACCAGTAATTTTCCAATACCATTCTCCCGTTGCAAGTAAAGACCTGATGCATCGGTACAAGACTATGAATAAGCCAATCTATTTCAAAGCTGTCTATTAATGTCCTTTGAGAATTTCCATAATCAAAAGAAATAAGTTAACATGAAGTCTGATTCAAATTTTAAGCTCATGGAATAGGAATAAAAATAAAATACAACAGGATAGAAATTGAAAGAATTCCAAATGAATTTTATGTCTAACTCGAAGTAAATGTTTCTATCCTTCCTTAATAAATGAGAACACAAATCCATCATTATGAAATTAAAGATATTAGTGAAGTTTATCCAATAAGATGAGCGAATAGAATAGACTTGAACCACGCGTGACATATGTGATTTCTGAAATAATCTAAATAAAATCTCAAACCATAATATTAAGTTCGCTAGTGTAATTTTTCTCACGGTTTGAATTTGTATTTAACATAATCTCTTTCTCCAACAACATACTGGTGCTTTCCCTCACCAAGGTCTACTTATGGGCTGATTGACACTCAAATATGAATAACAGGAGAAATATTTTGCAGATCTTCTTTCTTTACCTAAATACAAAGTCATGGGCTCCTTAAAAGACCCAGTGGCCTCTTAAAAAATTAGTCAAACTTTAAAATTAGATTCTATTAACATACTTATCACAGCAGAGGAAACAGTTTTCTTAAGACCAGGAACTGTTTTCATCTTAGCGTAACTATAGAAAATTTCAAACTCACAAGTGCCATCTAACTTCCCAACTGAAATTGATTAGTGTCAGTCCACAAGTGACAGTGACAGAAATTGAATTGAAGCAATACACAACATAACAATAACTTAAATACACTTGGTCCTAACAACAAACAAATTACACTTAATTCTAGTTCTTCTTCCTCCTCTGGTAAACCTTGTCGAATAGTATAATACCAGGGCACATAACACATGCAAAGATTTCATATGCTTAGTGCATCTCCTCCCCCCCCCCCAAACACCCCACATTAAATTTAGAGGTTGCATTTTAATTTAAAAGGATTTCGAAGGTAGAGGCAAGCAAAAGTTTCTAGAAGTATATAATATCAAATTGTTTTCATTTTTTCTCAAATATTAAAAAAGAAATGTGAAAGAGTAACAATCTTTCATTTTCTTTAATCATATTCGTTAATTTAAAACACATGTATTTATATTCCAAGTTGATATCAAAGATCTTCAATGGACTCAAAAGCATATGGGCAAACTCAACTTCTAAACATGAAGAGAAGAAACAGCCGACGTAATTTCCCTGGTTCGCGGATCGCCACTTTCTAAAGAAATACCATGAGGATCTTCTCTAACTAACAAGGCTAGAACATTGAGCCCACTCCATGTTTTCGTCACATTGTTATCAGAATCTCCTAAAGTAATGGCAAATATTGCATCAAAACCACCTGCTCCTGGAACTCCAGCCAACAGAACTCCTTCCATATCCATGGTAGTATCCAAAAGATGAGTTTGTGATTCAGGTTCTATCTGCAATTTGCGAGTAATCAAGATCACCACAGTTGTACAACCACTAGATGGTAGTGAGTGAGACTAGGAAGATCATTTTGGGTTGTAGAAGTCTTGGAATAGTGAGGATCAAATTATGCTCTCTATAATAATTACAGTTCATGATAGAGAATGTGAGCGCAAGTAATACATGAAATCTGGACAGATCATATCCTTAAACTAGCAAAAAATAAAATGAAGAGATTGCTGGAATTTGACTTCTTTAGATGATCATCAGGATTTTAGTCCTCTTGCACCTAAAGAACATGCTTCATTATTTGACCCGCAAGAGTGCCCATGTTACAGATGACTTGAAGACACGGTGAAGATAATTCCCCAGTGACTTGTATTCTATTCCTTCTTTCTTAATGAACTTTTTCATATGAAAAATGTGAAACCAACTATGTGAGATGCACATGTTAGATAAAGAACATACCGGAACACCTGCACTCTCACCCATCTGGCGCATATGATGTCTGATCCTGAGCATCGCATCTCTTGCCCCAAACAGTGTTCTAAGAATTGCTTCTTTGTTTGGTTCAGTAGCATGCTGCATCCACTGTTCATACAATTTTTGAAAGCATCAGGAATGTAAATGCATGTGAACAAATTATATTGGGTATAAATTGACTGATTATTGAAAAATATTGGTGGTTGATTTCATTTATTACATGAGTATACTATTTATAGTGTTACAATATACCAAGATATAGAGTTCTAATCTTATAAAACTTAGATTGTAGGATCCTAATAATACAAAAATATAATATTATTGATAGACATACATTACATTACAGATAAGGTTATATTTATCCTTTTGCTCCCCCACAAGCTATGTGGCATATCATGTAGATATTGGACCTCAAGTAATTAAATCTTGCAAAAGAAAGTCTTTTGGTAAAAATGTCAACTAATTGATCTTGACTGGCAATATATTGTACTACTAACTATCCTGCTTGTACTTTTTCTCAAACAAAAGAATATCTAGTTCAATATGCTTAGAATGAGTATGGTTGACTGGATTAAAAGCCACATAAGGGTCCTAACATTGTCACAAAATAAGATAGGAGGTTCAGTTGAAGTAAAATGAAGCTCCCAGAGCACATTTTTTAACTAGGATACATGTCAGAAATTACAAAACTTAGGTTATAGGATCCTAATTACAAAAACATAATGTTAGTAACAAACATAAATTACAATGCATATAAGATTATATTTTTCCCTTTATAACTGTTATAACAGCCAGTCATAACACACTTAAACACTTGTCCAAAAGCTTAAGGGCATGACTTTGCTCAAGTAAAAGTTCCAATAATCCTCACATGTATTACCATGGACAAGAACTTTTTCCTTTTTTGAGTTTGATCTGCACCATTATCTATCAAGTGAAGCCACATTATCTATTGGAGTTGAATGGGCTAGTTTACATTCAAAGCTTTCATCTGCTCCTTTCTGTTACTAAACAGAACAATTATCATAATGACTCAGAGATCTCCAAGCTTGCTGAAGAAATTGTATGTTAACCTCTGGAATGTGCATGATGCGCTTTAAAGCTGCTAAATCTCGTTATCATCTGTTCCTTGACTGTGATATAGCTTGAAGTCTTTGATCTCATTTGCTTGATACTGTTGGTGTTTCTTGGGATTCTCTTTTCCACCTTAAGGAGTTTCTATCTTCTGCTATCTGAGTTGTTGGTTGGAGAAAGGACATAAATTTTATGGAGAGGAGTTACTTTTGCTAGGTTGTGGATGATTTGGCTGGAGAGAAATGTCAAGATTTTCAGAGATTGTGAATCTCATTTTGTCTGTTTTTCATAAAGACTGGCTAGTCGTCATCCTTTGAGCATAGCCATTCTTTCTCCTTTCCTTGTACCTCCTTTTTTCCCCATAAGGGAGGATCAGAGTCGTCTTTGATTGCTTTTCTCATACTCTTCTAATAATACTTCTTTCATAAGAAAAAAAAAACATTGACTAAGAGATGGTCACTTCTCCTCATAAATATAGGTGGATGAGATCCATAACTTAAGTTTTTTTAAAAAAAGAAAATGAAAAAAAAAGAAATTTAGTTAGAGAGAGGAAAGAAGATTATAAAGCTAGAGGACAAGAAATCTTCTTAAACAAAAATAAAAGAGAAAGGAGTGCATTAAAATAAAAAAGCATGTCAATCCCTTTGCAAAATAATCAAAGAGATCCTAAAAAAAGTGATAGGCTTCAGCCCACAAGCAGCAAAGAAAGCCATACAGTTCCAGAGAAAAGACAACCAGCTTTTGATCCTTCAAAACCCTAGCATTAAGCTCCAACCACAACACCCATAACCCAGCTAAAATTACACATCTTCAAGACATTCGAGCTTCCTTCTTGTCAAAAAAATTAGCTAGCAATTAGCCAGCAAATTTTATGCAATTAGCCAATAGATTTTATGCAATTATAAGGCCAGCAGATTTTATGTCTAATTTTATGTCTTTTACAGCTTTGATAACTATCTTCTATATTCATATCTTTTATTCTTTCCTTATATTAGGATATGCTAAATGTAGGACAGATTTATATATGGTAGTTTAGCTAATTTAGGGACAGAAAATTACCTTGTATATTTGTATATATAATGAGAATTCTCCTCCATGGGAGGACAAATTTTTCTGCTCAAATCTCTTAAATTGTCACTTCTATCTACTACCACCCTTGATAAAATAGAAAGAAAATGGATGGGGAAACAACCCAACAGTAACCAAACATATAAAAAAGGATAGACCAAAGCCTCCAAGCCACTTCACAGTGTAAAACAAATGTGATTATGGGATTTTGCCACCTCAGAATGCATAAAACACACATCTAGAGAAATGGCATGACAAAAATATGCCGATTTGCAACAAAATCATAACATGCTCAATCCTCCTCCCTCAAGTTCTTATGCATGGTCTTCCTAGTAGAGTCTCAAGGAGTCAAAATGTTATTAGAAGGTTCCCCATGACCCATGCTCTAATATGAAAATGTTACATCCCCTCATCTAAGATGGGTCACAGGTCTATTAAGGGAAAATTGTCTAGGAAGCATAAGCTTGCTTACTGGATTTGCTATCCTTGACAGCCTATGGTTGGGCTCATTGGCAAGAAACCATGATTTCTAGAGAATATTCTAATTTAGGAATAATGTTGAAAGCTTTATTCATTGATAAGATAGAGTGTACTCCTCCTATGATCTAGAAAATGATTAAGTAGACTGACAAATTCCTAACTGTGAAGGTCTGAGAAAAAATAAAGTACTATTCTAAGGGAAATTATAATGTAAATTCCCTCAATATATTTGACTAGCCTAGAGTCCTAAAAAGAAGCAAAAGTTCATTCTGATGGGTCTCTTGGTGCTTACGGCTTCTCATCCCGTTTGAATCTCCTGTGGGTCAGTACCCTGTTGGTGTAGTTGACAGGTTAAACACTTAGGGGCTAGTGGTTAGGCTCCTAAAAGTTTCAAATAGCATTTTTATCTAGGATCTCACAATTCCATACAAATTAAAATATTAGTTTATGGCTATTCAGAACATCATGAGAAGATTTTCTGCCATTACTTCCCCGGAAATAGGTGTAAAAATGAATCAAAGGATTACCTCATTTGATTTATGCACGCTGCAGTATTCAATTACACACTTATAAACATCCCAATGTTTGTCTGCCAATCTGCTCAGCATATGTAGTTGTGTCTCAAGATCTGAATTTGCCTCTGACAAATGTCTCCATGTTTCTTGGGATTTCTGTGGGTCAGACTTTTGCCAACTTTTCACGGCACCTACCATTGATGGGGTCGATGATCCACCACTTCCTGGTTCCCCCAACAACTGCATAGAGTCAATAATAAATCACGACGAGCAATACATTTGATGTAGCTTGGCAGAATAGGGTTTAGAAAACAACGTGAAGGAAAAGATAAATCTGATCCAGAATCACTAAAATGTTGCCGCCACAATCACAGGATTGTCAGGCACTCAATTCAATAAGAGAAAACCAATAGTTTTTATTTCATATGCAGTCTTATCAACAATGATGAGTCACTCATATATTTATAGGATGTTTACATAGCCTAATATGACTAGAATTCCTAAATAAGAAAATAGTAACAAAATAAGATTTCTAATTCTCGCAAACCAATGATAAGTCTATTTTAATAATTCCTAAATAATAGTGCTAATAATAAAAAAATATTTTAATTGTATTAATATCTCATAATGGTAGAACATACCATTCTAGAATATTCCTATTCTGCATAATTTTTGCTTCCACATTCTTTTTTTTTTTTTTGAAAGAATTTCCATAAACATTATTACTAAAAGAGAAAAAACAAAAGATATCCTGCTATTTGACAATGCTATTTATCTATGTTTTAAGTGCCTTGTGCTTAGCTACATTAGTGTTCCAACTTATACTTACGGATTCATTATACTGGTGATCTAAATGTTCCAAATCCATTGCTTCACAATTAGGTTATAGAATCACTCTGTGGCCAAGTTTCAGGTTGAAAGAATTGCCAACCAGTTCACCATTAAGAAATCCTAGATGTTTACAGATGACCTCCATAATCACAGTAAACGAAATTTCAGAAGAAAGAACCAGATCCATTTGTATATTTGGTTCTTCTAAGTTAATATGACTAAAAAAGACCATTTGGATAAGATCAATAAGCCTGTATTAGGTCAGCATGAGGTGCGTAAGAAGAGACTTGCGTCATGCATATCAGAAAAATGTAATTACAATAGGTATTTTGACAAAATCATGTCAACAACAAAAAAGTTAAAATAGATAAAAGTTTTTTACATGCTTACAAGAGTCATCAATGGTGGTAAACAAAATTTAGTCCTCTCATGGTCCCACTTGCCTTTTAAGGTGTCACCAATGACATCCTGTAGTAGCAGTCCTTTAACGCCAACCTGCAAAGTTACAGAGAAAAATTAATTAAAAAACAGACTAAAGCACTTTCTAAAGAAAGTTTTCCTACCATACTAAAAAAAATTGGGTGATTAATTATCCAAAAAGTTAAAGCTGATAAGAACTGGTCCCACTTTATTTTCTATATTCTAATGGATACAAAACCATTCCATCGAGTTCCTGCATAATACTATCTTTCATACATTAAATGTGAAAATAAACAAAACTTTGGAGCTCCTATCCTTAATACTAGAAATATTAATTGGACTTTAGGAAGCAAAATTCATTTAACATAAGAGACAACTGAAACACCAAAGATGTACTTTTACAAAGAACCATGGCAATGGAATTTTTAGAGACATGTAGTTTCTCCTAAAGAACTTGAATGTTGCAAAGTTACAGACATTTCATTTCATGCCCTAATGCTGCATAGAAACATATAAAGAGCACTTTAGTTGGTCCTTCAGGTGAAAAAATAGTAAGAGAGAGAGAGAGAGAGAGAGAGACCTGAGCAAAAGAAAGCACTTCAGGTGAAAAACGGACATAACGCTGACTGCCATAAACTGCAGAACTGACATCAAATCCACTGCCAACTTTCCCTTGTGCAATACAGTGTGCAGTTTGAGCTATAATATGCACTATATGAAAATCCATAGACTCAGTCTTTTCTCGCCATTGATCTTTGGACAAGTAGGAAATATTAACTACACCAAGATAATGAAGTAAAGCAGCGACAACAGCTGTCGTCATTGCTGCAGAAGAACCCAAGCCAGTTTTTGCAATTTCAGGCTTGCAATTCTCTCCATTTGACTCGTCATTGAAAGTGATTGATGCAAAAGGTGGAAGGGAAGCCAACGACTCTGGTACCAAGGGAAGTCCCCTTGCTTCAATCTAACAAAATTTAAGTGTTTATCAAAATTTGGATTGAAATCTTAAGATAGAAATTGATAAAGTAGAACAAAATATAAATGATAATATAATGTGCAAAAAATCCTTTGCAAAATCAAAGGCAACAAAGAAAAGGGATCGATGGCATATTTTTTATAAGGAAAATATTCAAAATAATTAAAAAAATAAAAAAAATACCTGATTTCGGTATGAGTAGAAATCATTGCAACCTAAAATGGTTATATCAAGACCTGCAGGACTAATTAATTGCAAATAAGATTCTTGAAGTTCTAGTTGACGGGATTGATAGATGTATGAAGCAGAAAACTATAGATATTACCTTGCAAGAGTAGTTTGTGTAGGATTTCCTTCTTATTCTTGTCAAACATGGCATGAGCGGCAGCTACAGCATATTGCAATCCATGTTCAACAAAAGGATTCCTTGATTCACTGAAATTTATGTGTACAGCAAGGTAAATCATGTTAGAAAGTAATTCAACTGATATTTCTCATTCTTCATTCTTCAGTTACCAGAAAAAGAAAACTAAATCATTTAAAACATCTTTGGAGCCAGGTAGTGCCTTTCACCAGAATATTTAAACCTCTTAACATCAGTAATTTAACTCTTTCTTCATGTGATACTCCCTTTGTGCCTTGCGAAAAGAAATAACAAGATATATATATAGAAACCTTCTTTTATAGCAAGAGATCCAAAAATTTTAAATGACATAGAGGATCCTGATACCGCATCTAATAAAATCTTGCCTTGAAGAGACACTCTGGAGCATCAAATGCTTTAGAGACATTTTATATGTGCTTTCTCTTGAGAGCTGAGGAGATGTTAATTTGACATCAGTCCAGGCCTGAGAAATCATACCCAAAAAGAAAATATTCAGCCAAATGGTTTTCCAAAATAAAGGTTGTTAAGAAAAATAAAAATTGATTTTGTGAATAACAGCACTTAATTTTTCCTAACGATTAATGAGTTTTTTGAAGTGTTTGATTTAGTGTAACACCCAATTATTTTTATTATTTTTATTTTATTTTATTTTTATTAATTTTATATAAATATAAATATGTATTAATTGAATTTAATTTATTTTAATGAAAATAATAATAATAATAGTAATAAAAATTTGTTGGAGATTTAATTGAAAATAATTTTGAGAAAAAAAGATAAAAATTTAAATTTTGGGAGTATTTTTGAAAAAAAAAATCGAAAATTAGAGGTTAAAACGCAATTTAGAAAAGTTATGCCACGTCAGCTACCCGGTCAGCAGCCCCGACACACCAGGACGCGCTAGGTGGCAGAGACACTGATGCGGGAGGCCACGCGGGAGGGAGCCAC